ATATATATATATATATATATATATATATATATATATATATATCAAAGATTGTATAATTAGTGACAAAATCGTATAAAAAAGAAAAATAGCTTTGATTGTAACCTAATCAAGTATGTACGAAACATACTGTATCGAGACGTGTTATCCAGATATCTTATATTTGCTCAGTGTACTTCAAACCACTCGGAAGTTTGTATAAATTCAAACGTACATGTTATCTAAACATGTGATTAATCTCGGAAAATCATATGTAATAATTCCTCACTTCCAATATTTTCCATTTTAACGGCACAGTTTGTTTCTTTTTGAAATGTCCATTAATTCGTATATAATGATTCGTCTCCTACCAAATTTCAGAACTATACCAATAAATAGATATGTATTCTCGACATTGAACAATTTATAACACACTCTAATTAAGTATATAACCAGAAAAATAGGGAAAGGTAAATCAATCTGTTCCTTTAGTATGAATCGAAAAAAAAAAAAAAAAAAAAAAGCTGTTCTTTTTGTTATATCTGTGCAACAATTGACGAAACTAAAATCATTATAACAACACCAGGAGACACGTGCATCATCAACTTCGTTGCGGAGTTTTGATCTGAGTTCGTCGGGCCAGAGGAACCTGAAACAACACATATACACACACCATTTACTTAAAATAGTAAGAAAAATGCATATATTCAATTTCTTCGCATTCTTTATTGTCGATTAAAATTTTAAAATTTATGAATAATTAAATAAGTAAATCTCATACAACTTTTCAATTTTAAATAAATTGAAAATGATAATTGTTTTGAATGAATCTTTATCAAAACAACGGTATCAACGTGACTGTTCTCCGTCAAATTTTATCTTATATTTTTCGAATTTTTTAATCAATGTTTATTTTCGTAAAAACTTTTCACTGTTCTACCTTAGTTTACGTGTAATTTGTCAATCTTACCATTCGTGACATTTATAAATTCTTTTGGTTAAGAAGAAAGAAATTGAATAAAGAAAACTAGAAAAGAGAGAAATGATAGAATAGAAATGAGTAAGAAATAAATAAAATTTGGAGTGTTTGATTTAAAAGAAATTGAAGAAAAATTAAAAAGATAGTATTATAAGTTGTTTTGTTTAGATCAAACTAGATTTTTATTTTTTAAATTGATTAAGAAAATCAATTCCATTGATTAAGAAATTAAGAAATCAATTTAAGTTACAATGATCATAATACATTATGTAAGCTTATGACGAAGTGAAGAAATACTTCTATCAATATTATAGTAAAAAAATTAATACATTATGTAAACCAACTTTAATCAGCACGTGTTAATCAATTAAAGTTGGTCATTTACCTTAGAATAATGTTATTTCCTTGTCTGAGTACACATGGTTGAGTTCCACCTTAATAAAAAAAAACTAAATTTCTTGCTTTTTTCTACTCAAGTTAGCAAGGAGCAAAAATAAGTGGGATTGACTACTTTTTTTACACCTACTCTCTCTACTTCATACATATCAAACAATCTCTTATTTTTACTCCTTTTATACTCCCATGTATTTCATGCCTATTTCTATTCCAACAAATATAGCGTTAAGAGACGTTATAATAAATTTTAGCTAATAATAAATATTGTATATAAAAGCTTGTGTTAAAAATTAAGTATCAAAAGGAAAACATACTATTGAGGCAAGACAATGGATTCACATGTTTGCCACATCTACCAGGCAATTGCTGAGCCTCATTGATATTAATTCCAGCTTGCTCTGCTTCCTTTGTGCCTCTATTGCTTACCAAGCTACATAGGCACCCTGCATCTGATTCAATCACAGATTTAAGTGGCTCACAACAACTATCAGGTGGGTCTTCAGTGCCATTGAGGTAGTTCAGGCATGGTGAAAGCTTGTTGAGGCAAGAGCTTTGTTGAGCACTTCCTATTGGGATACATGTTAGAAGCACAAGAAATGCAATGCAACAAAGTTCTCTCAACATGGTTTCCATTTTCGTTGGTGATGGTTATAGTATGTGCCCTTATTGTACGTAAGGTTTTATATGTGAAGAGTGAAGCGTGGCAATTAGCTAGAGAAGGAGGAAAAAGTGATTTGAAAATGATGGTTAATTAAGAGTTGGTGATCAAACTTGTGTCCAAATGGTTGACCCTTTTGGGCTTTGTTATTTATTTTGTGGAAGCGTTTGATGGTATGGCTCATAGTTTATTGGACGATGCCACGAGAAAGGGGATAGTTGGACAGGTGAAGCTACTTTCGATTCATTTTCATTTTTCAAAGTGCACGGATTTTCAAACATAGGAAAAATGTTGGTCTGGTCGGCTATCCTTGGGACCGTTTATAGCAAAAGGAAATCGCTAAGCAAACAATTATAAAAAATAAAAATAAAAAGTATAATATGATTTTGGTCGCTCAAAATATTTTAGAATGTTAGTCTACATATATATATATATATATATATATATATATATATATTATTTTTGAGCATATTTGTTGATGTTATGTTTTTTTATTAAAAAATATTATCTTGTGAGAAAATTGAGTCATGGTTGATTGTTGAACATAATACTCTGTTTTGGGTTGAAGAATTCTGAGTTGTCATTTGTATCTTGATTGATTAAATAATTCTGGTTGAGATGGTGTTGTTCATTGAGATTGAATCTAATGCCTATGTTATACTTGGTTTGGTATGATTCTAAGCACTTGAGGAATGTGAATATGGCTTATATTGTAAAACATAGCTTGGTTTGTTTTTGATAATGCCAAAGGGGGAGAAAGGTTGTTGTGTGTATTGTATGGTTGTTGTTTTTGCAGGTATTATGCTTGTGTGTGTATGTTTTTGCAGGTTTGGTTTGTTGAAATTAGAAGCAAAAATGGTTGGAGCCTAGATTGGTTGTCATCATCAAAAAGGGGGAGATTGTTGAGCTTGGAGGAGCTTGAAGCTTAAAGGAGTTTTGATGATCACAAAATGTGTGTCAAGGGCAACAACAAACAACAACAACTTAGAAGCATAAAAACAAAGTCAAAGATAATGTCAAAGAAAATGCTATGTAATAGGGATTAGTATATAAATTGTTTTGGATGAGTTTATATGTTGTGTGTGCTTTGTGCATAAGCAAAATCTTTATCTAAACTAAGTAGAGAGTGTATGATGATGAGTTAAGAAGATTAGAAAGTTATTTTGAGACTTAAAACGAAGTTTTGAGAACTAACTCAAAATAATCGATTATCGTTAAATATAATCGATTATTCCAGCAATAGGCAAAATGGGATGCCTTGCTGCAATAATCGATTATTTGCCAAATAATCGATTATCCCATAAATAACTCTCTGGAATAATCGATTATCCAGCAAAATAATCGATTATATTGTTCTTGGTTGGTTTCCAGAAAACCTGAAGAACAAAATAATCGATTATTCTTTAAAATAATCGATTATCTGGGTCTGAAACTTTTATAAATAGTTT